TCCTCCCCTGTGGATGGTTTAAATGAATGGAAGGCATATGGTTTAGATGACTAGCAGCTTGATGTCACAAAAGGTATCTGAATCAGGCCAGGTGTGGTGGTGCATGCCTATAGTCCCAGGTATTCAAGAGGCTTAGGCAGGAGGACTGCCTTGGATGCTTGAGTCCGGCCTGGGCAATATAGTAAAGAACCTATTTCTAGGGGCCGGGCGCGGTGGCTCAAGCCTGTAATCCCAGCACTTTGGGAGGCCGAGGCGGGTGGATCACGAGGTCAAGAGATCGAGACCATCCTGGTCAACATGGTGAAACCCCGTCTCTACTAAAAATACAAAGCATTAGCTGGGCATGGTGGCACGTGCCTGTAATCCCAGCTACTCAGGAGGCTGAGGCAGGAGAATCGCCTGAACCCAGGAGGCGGAGGTTGCGGTGAGCCGAGATCGCGCCATTGCACTCCAGCCTGGGTAACATGAGTGAAACTCCGTCTCAAAAAAAAAAAAAAAAAAAAAAAAGAACCTATTTCTAAAAATAAACAAACAAAAAGGTATCTGAATCAAAACAAGAAAAAAGTCACAGATAAAATGAAGTTGATCTCAAAGACTGTGACTTCTAATGTCTTCAGAAGAAGAGTAACATTATAATAAATGTTTGAATCTGTATAATCAGTACTCTATAAGAAGGAATCAAAGAAGTATAATAAAAGTTCTTTCAACTTGGAACAAATTTCCACTGGAAATAAAATTTTTCCTGAGACTGTGTGTAAGGGGCAACAAATGATTGCCTAACAGCTCTTAATAACCCACTCAGCTGTAAAGATAGCTGGTAACTTATAATCAAGCTAGGTAAGAGATAAAATAATAGTAATTTAACGTCTATTAATTTTCTTAAATAGTGAACATCTCCAAGTCTGATAATAAAATGCATCAAAAAATACCTACAGCCCTCACTAGAGAAACATACACAACTGTGTCTGATGAGCAAGAGAGTTTTTAAAATGTTACAATACAGCTCTCAAATAATACTACTGCATGTTGAATTAAGGATCTTTAAGGTAACATGGAACAAGACCTAGTTTGCTCCCTAAAAATTAAAAATGGGTCTTCTTCCTAACAGGATAAATCAGCTCAAGACTTATCAGGGCTTGCTATATGGTTAGGCATATATGTCTTAGTTTTGACATGTTACAGAGCAAAGCCTGCTCTTAAGTTGGGTTGACATACAGATGGCATTCAATGGTACACACCTGAACAGCTGTACTGATTTCTTAAATACTGAAATATTGCCACATTCATTGGTAAACAGCTACTGGACTGAGTGCTGCTAGTGACCACACCAGATTTCCCCACAAGGAATTCAGCAACTTAAGTTTAAATGCCCAGCATGGCAGCAAACTCTAGGATCCCAGCTAGGATAAGTTCTGCTGTATGCCTTTGCCTTGTTGGTTGTCAAATATGATATAAAAAAAGCAAAAGTATGGCTCCAGGAAACATCAGTTACATGCATCGGCTGTTTAAAAAGCTTCCATCTCTGACACACTTCTTAATATAAGGAAATCTAAGGAAGTGACTTTTGGCTTCAAAGAAGGAAAGGATTGTGAATCAGGTCTAAAAATTAAAACCTGTGCAGGATAGAACTGGGCACTACTAATCATCAATTCTACTGAAACTCGAACAATTCAATGCAAACTCTTTAAAATTTTATGCAGGGAAGTGTTCCACACACATCATTTATTCTATAGACATTAGTGAAGTAGCTTTTGCTACACAAAGTCCCTAAAAGACATTTTTTAGCTGCACACATGAACTAATGGATTCTGTGTTTTACCTGACATTTTCCTCTCAGCCAATGAGACCATGAATACCTCGCAAATGTTTTTTATATTTATTTTAATTTAAAAAATTGCCATCATTAAAGAAACTTAAAATATAATATCCAGCATTTCTTCCTTCTTTTTTTTTTCATTTCCCCCTACTTTTTTTTTTTTTAATTTTAGGGGAGACAGGATCTTGCTGTCATCCAGGCTGGAGTGCAGTGTTACAATCATGGCTGACTGCAGTCTCAACTTCCCAGGCTTGAATGAGCCTCCCAACCTTGGCCTCTCAGGTAGCTGGCACCACAGGTACTCACCACCATGCCCAGGTAATTTTTTTTATTTTTGATACACATGATGTCTCACTATGTCTCACTATGTTGCTCAGGCAACTGGATGAATGGAACCTTGTTAGGCTGGAGAATTTTGGAAGAAAAACAAAATGTTCTTATAACCTAAAAAATAAGATGACATTTTAGGGAAGAGAGAAGAAATGCTTTCTTACCTTGGACATGGCTTTAAGGATTCAAGAATTTGACAGTTCTTCTGTCCTACTCCTTTAGGCTCCTCTCTGGGAGAAGGACAGTAACCTGAGAATGTAGAGCTAGAGAAGGAAAAGGAACCATAAAATGCCAGGCCTGCCCTGCAGCTCCCAGTATCAATAACCTAGAAACCTTTCCTTCTCATTCTCCTTTCCCCAACCTCAGATAATTAGAGGTATCACCAAGTAAGTCATTTATATCTAAATTTACAATTCTTTTACCCACATGCTTGGGATCTTAAGAATACAACATACATGTTCTGTGCATAAGTTACCTCCTCATTTATAATTTAAAACAAAAACCGCAATTACAGAATGGCATTACCAAGCAAGGATTTCCCCCTTTTTTACACATGAAGGCTCTTCATCGGAGTAATTATCCAAGGCATCATGGTAATACGTAATTAAGCCAAACCGGAAACCAGGTCTAACTTAATTCTTTCCACCTGATCATGATGTTGAAAGGAAATATGTGCCCACCCTTTCTGTAAGGATGAAAGACAAAGCTACAAAGTGAAATGTCTCAGAGAAAGCATCTCTATACACAGAGTACCAGAGGGGCTGTACGGTGTGGTGGACACTCCATCAAAGAGTCAGGACACCCTACTTCAGGTCCTAGCTTATGACAATCCGCACCTGAAAACCAGTCTCTTGAGTTTTCTGAGCAACTTCCTCAGAGAGAAATAAGGGGAAAGAGAAGGAGGGGCAAGCTATGCATGAACAGCCATCCAAATCCCCTATCAGGAATTCTTGTCCACCACACCTCACTGCCTTGAAGAATAAAGCCATTACCTAAGAAGCAGCATAACTTAGTGGTAAGAACCACCAGACTTAAGGATCAGAACACCTGGTCTCAAACAGCCAAACCACTACATACTACCTTTGGCAAGGTTGGTAACCATTCCAAACCTGATTCCTTATCAGTGAAATGGTAACTACTCCCTATCAATTGTTGGGAGGATTCTGAAATGATTTACATAAAGCATTTAGCACAGTGCTTGGCACATCTTTGTTAAATAAATTTTCATCTTTTTGTCATTTATTTTTATAAATAGCACAAGGTAGGTCTCCCATTCATTTTTCCTCTTAAATTCCTCACATGCTCCCAGAGACCGAGAAGGATGGAACGACTACCGTGCCAGAGGAGCAGCAGCCAGCATGGTCAGCTTTACAGGCCTAAGGCTGAGGTTCCTGTCTGTCTCTCCCTTTCCAGCTCTCTTCCCCTCTCCCTTTCTCCATCTTTTCCCTTCATCTCAATCTCTCTGTCTCCCCACCACAACAGCAGTCTCCCAAATCCCAAAGCACACCAGCATCTCCAAGCACCCACACAGCTTCCTGTCCACACAAATCACAGGCAATAAACCACACAGTCTCTCATTCTGGCACCTCTCCTGGCAAACTATGGACATGGCCCCACATTGTAGCCTTCCCTGTTCTCACAATGGGTCATAAAGGCCACTCTGAGTCACACTGTCACACTCATTGTCTGGATGACACACAGCGCTAAGTCACACAATCTCCTTCCATCTCACATAATCACACACTGTCATGCACAATCCAAACACTGTCACAGACAATCTTAGTCCAACAACAAACTCTGTTCACATAAAGTTTCACATACAGTGACAGTCTCACACACTGTCACACAAATTATCAAACACTGTTGCAGTTTCACATAGTCCCACACCAATGGCCACACACTGTACACAATCACACACTGTACCACACACACGGTGACATGGTCTCACATACTGTCACAGTCTCACATGATCCTACACACATGGCCAAAATCTGTTCACAAAGTCACACACACCGTCACACAGTCTTACATGATCCCACACACAGGTCAAACACACAGTAACATGGTCTTACACACTGTTCACACATGGTCTACACATAGTGACAGTCTAACACTGTCACACATTCTCAGTCTCACACGTGGTAATGTGGTCTTAAACACACACAGTGTCACAGAGTCCCACACACTGTTAAAGGCTCCTGCATAGACAGGCAACGGTCACACACTGTCACATTCTCACACCCAGTATCACATTGTCACACACAGTACCACATTTGTTCCATATGGTGTCACACTGACACATATTTACACACGGCCTCATACACATTCTCACACTGTCACACACGGTCTCACATTGTCACACAGGGTACTGTCACACATTCTCACACCATCTCACACAGTCACACATGGTCCCACACATGGTGGCATGGCTGCTGCCGGCGTCCGCTCCATCCTGCGCTCCTCACCGCCTCCTCCCTCCAGTGCGTACCTCCTTCGGCGCAGTCCTTGGGGGCCGGGGCTGGGCCAAGGCCCGGGCCAGGACTCGACCCTGGCTGCCGGCCGCGCTCACAAAGGCGCCTGAGCGCTCCGGCAGGCCGCAGTGGCCGCTGGGAAATGCAGTCCGGGGCCGGCGCGGCGCAGAGGATGCTGGGATGGTGGTTGGGGGTCCCGGGCGGCCGCAGGCCCGGCCGCTCAGTCAGGGTAGTTTCTGCTGCGCCCTCTCCCCTAGTAATTCCACCCCCGCTGGCCTTCAGAACCCCACCCGGACCAGCTAAGCCTTCTCAGGCCGTTGGCTCATCCACCAGTTCCGCCCGAGGCCTGGGCGGGCCCGCTCTGACTGCGCAGGCGCAGTCTGCTCGGGTCCCCAAAGGCTGCGAGGCCGGGGTGCTTGCACCGTGACGCGCACGCGCAGCGACGGAGCCCGCGCACGAGCGCTCGGGGTAAGTCTGTGAGCCCATCCCTGAGAAAACGGAGCTGAGGACCAGTGTGGGGCCTGAGCAAGCTGGAGAGGGTACCGGTACGTGGTACGTGTGATTAAGCGCTCCCGCGGCCCGGCCTTTCTTTTTCCTTTCCCTTTCTGTTTCTTCTCTCTCCGCCTTGCCCTGTGTTTCATTTGCCATTTATTGAGCACCTACCCTGCCGAGCACTCTCCTAGGCCCTGGGCACACAGCAGTAAACAAGCAGACAAAATCTCCACCTCATGGAGCAGCATTCTAATGCGGGAATAATTCAATAGAAAAAAATTAATAATAAAGGGGACTGATGCATGTTGGGAAGTAATGCATATTATCAAGAAAAGCGAAGCAGAGTATTAAGATTATTCTTTCAGTTCATTCTTTGAGTTATGCCCTCTGAATCAGTGGAAAAAACACAAAGTGCATTTTTTTTTATTCTTTCAACGACAACTAATCATAACAGAAGACTTCTGTGACTAAACATGGGGGAGTTTCCCACACATACAAAGCGAGCAGTGGGTTCTGCAGCGGACCTCAGCTGGGTGCCCTCCAGTTCAGTTCCGACGCAGTCTACTTGGAGATGGGTCGGACACCATTCGCTGAGGCGTCAGTCCCCAGGCCTGCCTCCCGCTTCCCGCTAGTCACAAGGCCAGCCTCTGGAACTTCTGACCCCACCAGCTTCAAGTTGGGATTTTCACCACCCCCTCTTACGGTTCAATATTTTGCTAGACTGGCTCACAGAGCTCAGGGAAATACTTACGTTTACTGCTTTATTATAAAGGATATTACAAAGGATATAGATGAAGACATGCATAGGGCAACGACGGAAGAAAGGGTGTTGCGCCTTCCAGGAATCTCCACATGTTCTGTGGTGTGGAAGCTCTCCAAACCCTGTCTTTTGGGAGTTTCACAGCAGCTTCATTGCATATGCATGGTTGATTAAAACAGTAACCCTCAATCCCCTCCCCTCCCTGGAGGTTGGGGGTGGGTTCAAAGTCCCAACCTTCTAGTCAAGCATTGATATTTTCCATAACCAGTCCCCGTGCTGAAACTGCATAGGAGTTACCAACTATCAGTCAACTCGTTAGCACACAGAGTTTTTAACTCTTATTTTGCAGTTTCTAAGGATTTTTAGGAGTTCTATGCTAGGAAATAGGATGAAGATTAGATATATATATTTAACAATATCATACTCATTCCTTCTCTTCGACCTGTCTTTGGAAATATTTTATAAACTCCTATGTTTAGCTCTATTGCCCAATTCTGTACCACTCCTCCTAAAATCCTGTTATACCCTTCAATTCCTTCATTTAATTGTCTGACCAAAGTTGCCGTGACAAAGAGCATCATCCAAGCTGGGAATTTTATCTTTAGGAAATAAAAAAAATGCAACTATGATATTAGCAACAAATAATTGTTTATAATAAAATGTTGAACATAAACAATATGGCTATGGTTGCAGGTAGCAAGTAGCTAGGGCCTGTTATCAAAGGCAGTAAAGAAGACAGTCTCATATTTACCAAGACAATCATAGGTAAAGAAAGGCAGATTTATTAGAGAAAGTATGAAAATACGTTGCAAGGTTGCAACTGGCGGCACAGCAGAGAAGCAGCTGTCTGCAAAGAGGCAGGAGCTGGAAGGAAGCTTTATAGGGTCATGCTGGAGGAAACTATGAAGAATGAGGTCATTGTGACCTCAGGTTGTTTGATTAGCCATCTCTCAGAACAATTGTTCATTGTTCTTCCCCACCTGTGGCCCCTTCCTCATGGTTGTTTACTTATCAGGACTCCACATCTACAAGAATGGTCAAATAAATAGCAGTAAGTTCTAAACCAGAAGTTACCAGAGACAGGTGTCGATCAATTCAGAAAGTTTATTTTGCCGTGGTTAAGGAAGCACTAATGACAGAGCCTCAGGAAGTTCTGATGACATGTGTCCAAGGTGGTTGGAGTACAGCTTGCTTTTATACATTTTAGGGAGACATGAGAAATCAATCAATATGTGTAAGATGTACATTGGTTCAGTCAGGTAAGGTGGAAAAATCTGAGGTGGGGGCTTCCAGGTCAAAAGTAGATATGGGACAAAAGGTTGCATTCTTTTGACTTGATTAGCTTTCCACTGAATATACAATTTAGTCTGGCTCAGTGAATCTGCATTTTTACATAAACAATAGGTCTGAGGAAGCAATCAGATATGCATATGCATTTGTCACACGAGCCTCAGACGGATGACTTTGAGTTCTTTCTGTCCTTTGTCCAAAAGGAATTTCCTTGTGAGCAAATTGTGAGGGAAGTATGTAACTTTTTATCTTTATAGTTATCTTATTTAGGAATCAAATGGGAGGCAGCTTTGCCTGACATAGTTCCCAGCCTGACTTTTCCCTTGGCTTAGTGATTTTGGGGTCGTGAGATTTATTTTCCTTTCACATCTGTGTGATTGAAAACTATACAACTTTTAAAAAGAATAATCTCATGGCAATGAAGCAACATGTGAAAATACTTCTTAAGGTTTCTTAAAGGAGGAACAAAGCTGTTAAAATTGCATTATGAGTGCAACATTGGAAAACTGTTCCTATGAATAAAAAGTAAAAGGAGCACAATCTACAAAAATTGTAGTTGGGTAGTGTTTGAATGTTGAAATTATGGTATCTTCCCCTCACTCTCAAACCAGACAGACAAGCCTTGTTTAAGGTAAGGCATCAGTAAACTTCCAGGTTTCTGCAGTCTTTTCGACATTTCACAAATGTGTGAATGAAGAGGGTAGGCATCTTTGTGAAACCACATTTGCATAAACTATATCAGTGAGAAAAACTGACAGTAAACTGAGCTGACCCCATCTATCTTGCCTTTCCCTTAATTATTCCTAGGCTATATAGGGCTGAACTAACTTTGGAAGACTTTTAGGCTATAGTTTAAATAACAGGCCTTGGCCAAAACTCAGTTGCTTTTGTAAAGCTAATGGGAGGCCATCAGGCTGGGAGGAGGAGAGGAGGCTGCATCCTTCCAAAGTTTATAAGATATGCAACTTCCCCAATTACAACTGCAAATAACATCACTACTGTAGAACCTCAGACTGGCCTTTTGAGATATCTTTTCAGGTTTTTTCGTGTCTGACACCCATGGCTCCACCTGGACCTGATGGTTCCACCTGGACTAACCAACCCAGCTCCTGTGGCACCACCCAGAAGCAATTCAGCCTGCATGAGGGCAGCTTTGACCCCCTATGATTTCATCTCCACCCAACAAATCAGCAGCAAGCACCTGTTTTCCGGCGGCTCCCACCCCTTTCCCCAAACTGACTTTGAAAAACCTCTAATCTAAGAGCTTGGATGAGATGATTTGAGTATGAACTCCATTTCCCATGTGGCATGTCCAGCATGGCAGCTCCATCTTCCCTTTTCTTTGTCAACCATGTGTACAGTAGGGAACAGACAACATGGCGCCAGCCAGGTAGCGATGCCATCTGCATAATAAAAGATTAGTGAGTAGTTTGCCTGTTCCAGAATTTCACCTAAAATGGATTCATACAATAAATTCCCTTTGGTGTGTCCCTCAGTCCTGCTACTAAGCCTGTCAAGTGAATTTTTCAACTCTAGAAATTCCATTACCTTCTTTTTCATATATTTCTTTTCATTATGTTAATGTTTTGGTTAAGTCACTGACAGGTATTTGTTTTAGTCTTTGTTAATCTTACTATTTGTCATTTCTGTGTTTCTATTAACTGATTTTTTTTTCCCTCCTGGCTTTGGTCACATTTTCCTGCTTTTTTGCATACCTGGCAATTTTTTTACTGAATACTGGATATTGTTCCATTGCTACACTGAATGTCTGAATTTTATTTTCTCAGGCAATTATCTCTGAATCCGTAATATATTTTTTAATCATCCAGCCCAAAAATTTGAAGAATTTGTAATAGTTTTGAGACTTGTTTAAACTTTGTTAGAACAGTAGCCTTTATTCCAGGACCTGTTTAGGTCTACCATTATGATGTAACCTTTCTGGAGTCTGTACTGTTAAAGTCCCTCCACTTTGGCTGGTTGACATCCAATGCAGTTTTTCTTTCCCTGGCCTTGTAGAGCTTATACATGTGTAGCTCAGCTTTCAGCCAAAAACTCAAGGAGAGCCCTATGCATATTTCTGGAGCTTTTTCTCTAAGAAACCCCCTCTTCCACACTCTGTTCTACAAATTCCAGTCACTTCTTTCTCCTCAAAACTCTGTTGTTTGTCTCAACTCAGCAAACTGCTGTGCTCTGGTTGGGTTCTTCCTCCCTGCACTGTCATTGGAAATATTCCTTCAGGGAGAAAGCCAATGTAGTCATAGGATCTCATTTATTTCCATTCTATTAGAGATCAAAATTGTTGCCCAGTGTCTGCAAAGACCTAGACCTCTTTCCTACATATTATCTAGTTTTTTATTTGTTAAGATAGAGTGACCAGGCACAGTGGGGTGTGTGTGTGCCTGTAGTCTTAGCACTTTGGGAGGCTGAGGCAGGAGGATCACTTGAGGCCAGTTCAAGACCATTCTGGGCAGCATAGCAAATGTGTGTCTGTCTGTCTCTCTCTCTCTCTCTCTCTCTCTACATATATATATATATATATATATATAGAATATATAGTAATATATATATAGAATATATAGTAATTTATATATTACTATATATAGAGTGAGAGTGTGTGTGTCTGTCTATATATAATATATATATATATATTTATATATATATATAAAATGCTAGGATTACAGGTGTGAGCCACTGTGCCCAGCCGAGTAACTTATTTTCTTCTTGCCAAATAACATATATTTGTGATTAGATTATGCTGCTTTTGTAATATATATTTTATTAATGGAATTTTCTTTTCTCGTATTTCAGAGAAAGAAAGCATTCCAGCTAAAGTCTCCATCAACTGATTTCTGTTCATCTCATTCTACCGAAATTTAAGATTCCTATTTCTACCTCTAAAGGTCTTTTCTAGGTTGTCATTCCCCTCTAACTCTGGACCTTGTGACATCATTAATTACCCTGTTCTTCATGAGAGCAAGGGAGTAATTCCTTAGGGAATGCAGGATTTCCCAAGCAAAGGCTTCCTCCTAACTTGCTCCTTTTACCACAGCACCAGTCAAACTGTCACTTCACTTTCTATCATCCAGGGCAGCTTCTCTTATTCCAATATATTAACTTATAAATGACTTAGAAATGTAAACCCCTGCAAGAGAAAATAAGAGACTTGATTTAAGGGTTCAGACTCTGCCACTTAGTCGTTAGGAGAGAGAAACCACTGTGTAGCCAGAAATGTAAGTGAGATAGTCTTTTGGAGAAAGGGAAAGATAAAGTTTCAGGTAGGGGTCAACAGAGCTGCCTATTACCAGGCCTCAAATCTCAAATACTTCTCTGTGAACAGGAGTCATAACACCTCAGGAGCTGCTTGGAATTTCACCACTAAGAAACAAAGTTATTTCTGGACAGGAGTTATATTTGCAATCACTATGAAAAGATATCTTAATCCCACCAGCCAAATCCCTATAGTTTTCTAATACCACATCCTGAATCATATCCTTTCATGCTGGCTTCAACCAACCCTACTCCTTCTTAGAGAAATAAAGGCCACATTCTTGAATGTCAGCAGGCCAAGAAATAAAAGCACAGTTATCCACATGCTCTCGGAGGATTTGTGGAGTTTGTTAAGACAAGGGAGATAATGTATATGTTCATGCTTTTGTCCTGGGTTCAGGGTGTTGAGTTAAACAACACTAGATTGGTTAAATTATGGAACAGCAATACAATGAACTACTACATGGTTAAAAATGTAATTACAAGTATGTTCATGATTAATTTCAGGTAGAAAAAGCAGTTTACCTGTCTGTAGCAAATACTCCTCTTGAAAAGTATAAGTATAGTTAGAAAGATAAACAGAAGGATAGAGATAAATGGATGGAATTAGTTTAGAAAATTATGCCCTCAAATTTCAACTGTAATTATCTCCAGATTGTGGGATTATAGTGTTATTTATCCTTGTTTTGTTAGGATCACTTTTTAATTTTCTTACACTCACCGTATATTTCTTTAGAAAATATGTTTTTAAAAAATCATTTGTTAAATGAAAACTTTTCTTCAGGTTTCCCAAGGAAGAGAATTTTCTTTTACATTCAAAATGTACATTTTTGCATTGAAAACAGAAGTGGCCATTTCATCATCTTCTAAATTTCTCTTTTTTCTTTTTATTATTTATTTTTTTCACTCTTCAGCATATACAATACAGTGGATCTTCTAAATTTCTCTTTGGCAGATTAATGAATCTGAGAAAGTAGAACTGGTAGGGAACAAAGTTAGCCTGAGAGATGGCTGGCTTTGTATCTGTTTGGTCCTTTGCCTTCTTTTCCTCCATAAACAAATACTTGCACATGTACATATAGACACACTCACACAGTCGGATATTAAAGGGAAACTAGAGCCACTCACCCCTTCCCAAGATCAGAGAACATAAGAAAGATGATGATGATTTTTGCATCTACCTTCTGCTCTTGAACTCACAATACTGTCCTGAATCACAAATAAGATCAAGTAGAATAAATTTACAACTGTCTCCTTGAACTGTCCATTCACAATTGTGAAATTCAACCATCCTTGCTGAAGTTGTCTCTTAATACTAGTAATGGCCAATAACCAACCTCTGAGCTTTGCTTTTATTATTATATCATTTAACCCTCAAGACAAAGCTGCAAGCCCAGCATTACATTCTTCCTTTTATGGACAAAGAAAATTAAGAAACGAATAAATGGCTGAGCTGGTATTTGAATCCACATCTGTTTAACTCTTACACTACATCACTGTGCCTGCAAGGAAAATGCAGCCTCTACCCTCTCCTGAAGAATGCGTAAAGAGACAATATACTGTATTTTGGAAAAAGCATCTTTGCAGAAGGAAAGCGTTAGCTTCAGTCACATTATCATCTTTATCCAGCAGCGTAGCATTATTTTACATATATAAGCTCAGTTACTCCTCCCCAACAACTCAGTGAATTTGAGGCTATAATCATCCTCACTTTCAAATGTGGAAACTGAGGCACATCTCTAAGACTGGAGTTCAGACATTCTGAACTTGGGGCCTGACTCAAGGACAAACTGTACCACCTCGGACAAGGAGGGTTTCCCCATTCTGAGACGCAGCATAATAGGTCGTGACCAGCATCTGGCACTTCGGACTCCCGATCATACTGGACCGCGCTAACTCGGGATGTGTAAAGTCTAGGGCTTCTCACACTTGATGACTATAGAAGCCGCCTATAAACAAGAGAGAATTAACAACTATATGTTGTGGTCTGGTATTTAGCCAAGAGATGCCGCCCCATAACAGGAAAACTTCTTTACATCTTTATAACGTTTATTTTGCATTCTCCTTCATAACCCACATTTAATTCACCATAGATGTAATGTTTAAAATTAGTTACCAGACAAACTTTTACATTTCCAAACTTAAAGGTTCCTTCCAAACCTTCTGGTAAAACTGCTGCTCCACGGAAATGGGAACTTAATGGATGAGGGAGTCTTCCACAGCTGCATACAGTTGTGTATCCACCGCTAACCCGTCCCAGTCACACACTCAACGACCCACGTGGAGTCAGAACCACCACCACACACCGTCATGACAATCAGGCACACACAGTGACGGTCCCTTGCCAACTCGGTCACTCATCCACAATCTCTCTAGAGAATCACACGCAGATAGCACACAGTCCCTCGTGAAAGACCCAGGGACTCGAACACTCGTACATCGCTCCTCTGCGCACTACGCAAGCAAGGCGACCGCCTCACCCCTAAACATCGCGAGAAACGATAAGTCTAGAGACTACGTTTCCCAGAAGATACTGCGGTACTGGCCCTATCATGGCGCAGCATCGGTGTGCTTTGTGCGTCTGCGCCATCTTCCGGATGCGCGCTGCGAGTCCGCCGGTACCGAGGTGGAAGCGCGCCCTGGGTTGCCGGGGGCGCGGCCGCGGTGACACTTGGACCCGAGAAGGCGGCAGGTGAGGGGCTCCGGAGCTTTCCAGGCGCTCCGGGGTCCAAGTAGGAACGGGTGCCGCGGCCGGCTGGGTCTCAGGCCTGAGAAGACCCGAGCCGTCTCGCCCCATCGTCGCTCTGTGGCTTTACCGGCGTGAGACTACATTTCCCGCCGGCCCTCGCGGCACGCGGCTGCTGGCGCCTCCTTTCTGCGTCCAGCCTCATAGCCCAGGTGCATGGACCACTTAGGTGGGTGCACAGGGGTCCCCGACCCCCTGAAATTGCGGATGTTTTGCATTCACTGTTATGCGTGTTTTTGTTTTTTTAATCTGAAAGGAAATCTTGTTTCGTGACATTTTCAGAGAGTCACAAGACCCCAGAGGATTTAGAACAGCTAGTTTAGAAGAATTTACATTTGGGAACATTTTATATGACCTTGTTCAAATTCTGTGTCCAGCAATGGGGAAACACTTGAGTGAAACACAGACTATCCTGTGTAAATAGGATATCGTGCAGTTAACACAAATAAAGCTTATGAAAGTGGTCATAATAAGGAAAGGTTGCCTCTTACATCGTATTAATCAACATTCATAATTATTTCACTTACACATTACTTAGAACTAAATGTTTGTAATGCAGTAGGCACTTTACATACTCCTTTATAAAATACTTCTTAACAGTGAGCTCAAGAACTGGTTAAATGACAACACTGCAAACACTTAGATGTGTTTTCTTCCAATTTTTTTGTTTTGTTTTGTTTTAGCCTGTGTGTCAGTGAGTGAGTTTGACTTCTTTTTGCTCAGTGTTCTCAGAGGATCCATTAGTTAGCATCTTTGCTTGTCAGTTAATGTTGCCCAACTTCATTTTTGTTAGCCACTTGGCATTCCATTATATGGTTATGCCAAAAATGGTTCAACTACTTGCCTACTTGTGGACTTGACTACTAATTTTATGTACTAATTTTCAGTTCTATTATTTGGCAATTATTATTGGGCATTCAGCTTTGTGCACTGCTGTGTCTCTATGGAAGGGCACATTTATGTGCTGGTAGTGGAGCGCTGGGCCTGCCCCCTGTAAATTTTGTCTCTTATTGTTTCTTGTAACTCTGTCGCATTTGTTGGTGCAAGGCTTGCTCCATGAAGTGGCGTCTGCAAAGCCCCAGTTTGGGCTGTGGAGCTTTTTGTAAATTTGGCCTTTGGGAAAAGAACCAGGTAGACTTCGGAATGTGTTATATTTGCTGCAGGAGAGAGTTAAATGGCCTAGCCCTGGAAAGGCTTTATTTTAGGCTGGGGCTGTGCAAATTATGCAGGCCTTCTATGCTACCTGGCTTGAGGAAAGCCTTCATTGTCCTTGAGGTAACATGTGGATCTCAGTCACTAGAACGGCCTTCAGCATCCCTGTCTCAGACTTGAATCTGCAACAAAACAGAATCACTATGTTTAGGGGAAATGGGAAGGAAAGGACCACTGGTTCCCCTTCTTGCAGCAGCTAAAGCAGGTTACCTGGGGTTGGGTGAGGATCCCTTTGTCTCACCTCTCTCTCATTTTCTTGGTGGGCAGAGGGCAAGCAAGTGGGAACTTGTAACTTTGGCATTCTAGTAGCTGTGAGACAGGCCTAGCCTCTCATGTTTGCTCTTTCCTCCCCCAGCTCTGCCGTCGCAGGACTCTGCCTTTCCCCAAGAGAGGAACCAGGAGGAGGACCTATCAGCCCTTGAAATTCTAAAAGTCATGTCCCTTGTGAGTTTTAAAATCCCATGAATATTTGCTTTTCTTATCTTGAAACTTCCCACCTGGGTTCCATCCAGGAATCTGGTTCTCAGACTTTCCCATTTTAGGGAATAAAAGGACCAGACAGCGAGTCCCCTCTCCCTTTGTCCTTTCCTCTCGTAAATGCCTACAGATTTATTCTCTGTAGCATTCTGTATCTCCTGATGGTTTTCTTCTGCTAGGAGGAGAAACCCATTTCCCTGTATGAAATGAGAGCATCTTTTGTAAGAACTGAAGAGATGGAAGTGAACACTTATGAGCAATCACATATAGAAAAGCAGGGGAGGTGGTGTTGGTTGGTTTCAATTTAAGTACGTGGGCCAGTGCTTTAAGTGCTTTGGGAATGATTAATGATTGGATATGTAATTGATGTTTGACTGGGAATCCATCAGAGATTCTATGCCAGAGTTAAAGTCTAGTTTGATCTTGAACAGAGCATATGAAGCTGGGACAGTCTCCATTAGTTTCTTTAGCTTAAGAGCAAGAAAAGTACAGAGCTGAGAATGGTGGGTGATACAGCAAGTGAGATGATCAGCTAGAAGGGTGAGTGGTGAGGGCTTGGAAAAGCCTTAGAGATCTGATCCAACCTCTGGACCCAAAATTAGAGGATGCTTGAATCATTAGTTTCACTTCATAGAAAATTGTACTCAATAAAAGTGATCTCCATGGTTTTTCCCATGAAGAAAAATCGTTATGTTCTGACATAATGATTAACTTTCATCTCCAAGAAATTCTTGACTTATATGAAAATCCTGTATCTAAGATAGAGAATGTTTCTATAATTTTAAAAAATAAAATATTTGGGGAAAGTCCATGAGAAATAATATTTTGTTAATGTTATTCCAAAAGATAGAAATGATAGGTCTCACCTTGAGAATTTATTGTATGCTAAGTACAGAGTGGGCTGTGTGCGTTATTACACTGTTTCTTACTGTAAGAAAAACTCCATTTAACTCCATTTTCATCCCAGACCTGTGCACAGAGCTTTGATTTGCAGTTACAAGGAGTGTTTGAGAACATTTGAACATTCTGTTTTACTCATACCCATTTCTAATGTAACCTTTCACATTCAGTCCTACCCTTCTTGTTCAACCAAACAACCTCCGTCCCTGCAAAGACCTGCCCTGCCTCCTTTCATCCCACTGTGATCCATTGAAATATGTATATATCATACATGCCTGTCATTCCAGGGGTCAGAATTGTTCAAGGATGTGGCCATAGTCTTCTCCCAAGAAGAATGGCAGTGGCTGGCACCTGCTCAGAGGGATTTGTACAGAGACGTGATGTTGGAGACCTACAGCAACCTAGTCTCACTGGGTAAGGTGATCTAGTCTGTTAGTTTGGAGGTTATCGTTGGGCATCTTTATTCCTTCCTGATCAGTTTTTGGGGCTTTTCAGTTTCGTGACTGGTTGGTCATTTTTGAGGGGTTAAAGGGCAGCACTATTGGCTGAAGCTACATCTTCCCCTAATCTCAGGCAACTGTCCCATCTTCTTCTGGCACTTCTGCAACTGCGTCTCCTGCTTGATGACCAGGTCCTGGATATGAATTCTGGGGCCCCCTATACCATAACTAGGTGGCATGTTTCTTCTTATCTCCAGGTCTGGCCATTTCCAAACCTGATGTGATATCCTTCCTAGAGCAAGGCAGAGAGCCCTGGATGGTGGAAAGGGTGGTGGCTGGAGGCCTGTGCCCAGGTGAGTGAGGTGTCAGTGAGAAGGGAGCAGCCAATTCAGGTATCAGGTCAGCTGGAAGTGGCCCTTTGTCTTAGAAAATCCTCCCTGCAGGTTGCTGCATTCAAAGCTTATGTCTTAAGTGTTGTCTTCCTCAGCTTGTCAGTAGCATTCGACAAGGTGGCTGCTCTTTCCTCATGAAACATGTAAAATTTCAACCTGTAATATAGGGCTAGACTGAGTACAAATATGGTGGTTCCTAAGGAAAGTATTTTCTCTTTGGAAAGATGTATCTTTTGACCATTTTTCTTTATTTTTTAATTTTAATTAAAAAATTTTTTAACTTTTAAGTTCAGGAGTAGAAGTGCAGGTTTGTTAAATAGGTAAACTTGTATCATGGGAGTTTATTGTACAAATTATTTCATCACCAAGATATTAAGCCTAGTACCCATTAGTTATTTTTCCTGATTCTCTCCCTCTTCCTACTCTCCATTCTCCAAAAGGCCCCAGCATGTGTTGTTCCACTCTATGTGTCCATGTGTTAGCTCCCACTTATAAGTGAGAACATGCAGTGTTTGGTTTTCTGTTCCTATATTAGTTTGCTAAGCCATGATTTTATAATCTACCTTGAGAGGATATAAATATTGTGCTCCTCACAAACCTGCTAGTTTCAGAATTCATTGATAGTTTTCTCTTGGATCAGATATGATTAATAATTACAAAATAGCCGGGTGCGGTGGCTCAAGCCTGTAATCCCAGCACTTTGGGAGGCCGAGGCGGGTGGATCACAAGGTCAAGAGATCGAGACCATCCTGGTCAACATGGTGAAACCCCATCTCTACTAAAAATACAAAGCATTAGCTGGGCATGGTGGTGCGTGCCTGTAATCCCAGCTACTCAGGAGGCTGAGGCAGGAGAATTGCCTGAACCCAGGAGGCGGAGGTTGCGGTGAGCCGAGATCGCGCCATTGCACTCCAGCCTGGGTAACAAGAGCGAAACTCCATCTCAAAAAAAAAAAAAAAAAAAAAATTACAAAATAGTGATTTTTAAAAAAACTTTATTATTCCTTATTTATTAGTTCACATACCCCTGTAAAGAAGAGCTTTCTCCCTTTTACCATTTGTTTCTTCATTTATATCATATGGATTAAAAGTAGGTGGCATACTTTTACTCATCTTATAAAGCTTCTTTTAGTCTGTAACAGATTTTTATCCATTATCATTATTTATCACAACGTTCATATTTTTCCAAATTTGGCTGGTGACACCCTTTCAAAGTGGCTCCTGGGTTCTTTGGAGGTAATCCCTCCCCTTTTTTTATAAGCACATTTTTTTAAGTTTTTTAGTTTCAACAATTCAGTAAAAGTTAGCTAGTTAACGTAAATACAGAACAAGTCCACACAGTTGACATCCATGTACATAAATGCAAGAATGCCAAACCTCACATTAAACAAAAAGTAGCAACTCTTACAATATTGACTATTTAGCGATGACTGGTAGGTCATAATTCTTCACATAAGCAAGGGTACACATTCAAATGTTTTTTAAAACAAAAACTAACTAAGAACAAAACAAGAATTTTATGTTTCTAAAAGGAGAAGCATAGAAGTCAATGTATATAAAAGTAGGAAGAACATAAGGACATGATAGAAAAGAGATTTGAGTGGGCACAAAGTTAGTACATCGTGTTAATAGTTTTACATATTAAAATCTTTCTGCAGCCACGTGTAGTAACTCATGCCTGTAATGCCAGCTACTCAGAAGGCTGAGCGAGAAGCATCACCTGAGCTCACCTGAGCCAAAGAGGTTGAGGCTGTAGTATACCATGATTGTGCCTCTGCACTCCAGCTTGGGCAACAGAATGAGACCCCATCTTTCAAAAAAAGAAAACTATTGTGGAGGCAAACTTTCTATAGAACTTTTATATATAGGTTTTTTTTTTAAGTCATAAGTGTCATACTTAAACCAAAATGCAGATTTTGCTTTTGTCTCCAAATTGATTGTAATACTTTTGAGTCCAATCAAAACACCTCAGAAACATCCAGTTACTGTTGATTACAATAAATGTGACATGCTGACAGAATTTAAGAGGGTATTGTTTTTCACTGCTGAGAGCAGAAAAAGCTTGTTAATTTTCTTTAATGTTGGGGTCACTATAGTGAGTAGAGCTGCAAAACAACATATCTGAAACCCAGACAAATGTTATGAATACTGGTTCTGTTTAGTAAATGACCAATGTTTTTATACAAATACTTAACACAGAATTCTCTCCTGCTCTTTCACCCTCAATAAATGCTATATTCACAAAGAGCCATGTTAAATAAAGCTGCTGCACAAAATGTACCACTCGTAGGTACTGAAATGAGTAGTATCACACTGGAGTTTAATTGTACACGTTTATATGCCAGTATAGCAACATCCTTAGCCAGAAGTCTCAACAGAATTATCATGAACATGTTTAAGGTTATATACATATATCTATTAAAAGTATGAAAAGGTGCATTTGAACTTAATGGCAACATTTAAAAGTAGTATCCTTTTAGCACATTAACTAGAATAAAATTCTCATCAAAAAGTATTTTTAGGCTGGGCATGGTGGCTCATGCCTGTAATCCCAGCACTTTGGGAGGCCAAGCCAGGTAGATTGCTTGAGCCAAGTAGTTTCAGACCAGCTTGGGCAATATGGTGAAACCCCATCTCTACAAAAAAAAAAACAAAAACCCATCTCTACAAGCATGTTGGTGCCCACTTGTGAGGAGTCTGAGGCAGGAGGATTGCTTGAGCTTAGGAGGTCGAGGCTGCAGTAAGCCAGGATCATGCCACTGCACTCCAGCATGGGTGACAAAGTGAGAATCTGTCAAAAAAAAAAAACCTTGTTCATTTACAAAACTGTAAAAAATTACCTGTGGAATTAGACAGCAGAGGGCGCCTTTTCTATAATTGTATACTGTCCTTGATGTTAATATAATGTTGTGGTTCAAATGCTTACTGTGAAAACAAGCAGAGAAAAATTCAGAAGTGGTAAATGTTTCCCGCTTTAAGCAAATGAAATCAAGGTATGATAAACAGGCAGGTTCATAATAAATCTCTGAAAAGACAGTTGAATTCTAGCTGTCTTCATGTACCACAGAGTTAGGGAACATATGAGGATGTGCTCATATCACTGGAGTGACCAAAAATCAACATTTTACTGCTGTCCCAAACTGTTAATAGTT